GTTATATATGAAAATGTAAAATATATTCCACTATTTATTTTTAAACTATTAATTGTTTTTGTGAATATCTTTTGACACAGACTTAAAAAAGCCAATTATAAACACGATATCCAAACGCCAACGTCAATGCTCAAGCATGTTCGTAAAATATGAAACATTTTTAATTGCTTTTTTATATCTTATTTTATTTGAACGAGGGAACCCCTAAAATAAATAATTGAGTAAGTTCATCAAATTAAAGATATGTGTTTTGTGCTATTAATATAGGTATCTTCTTTTATTAATAAATCAAATCAAATAAATTGGTTTTAATTTATCCAAAAAAAAATGCTAATGAATGAAATGATAGTCTCTGCAGGTGTTTGTTTGTTTCAGATCAGTCTGACATTAATATAGGCCGTCATCTCACAATAAATATTAAATTACATCCCAACAATTGTTTCAAAAAGGTCAATTAAATAGTAACCGGTCATTCAGTCACCACTTTGATTACAATGACAACAAAAATGTTAATTTATTTGAGAGATATCTGTAATTAAGAAGGACACTACATATAACATGTATTGGTATTTTTTTTAAAAGAATGTGTGCCCTCCTGGACTGGTATATGGAGGCAAACTAATACTTTTATCAAGTCATTCTTTGTAAATTGTAATTTTCAGCCACATTACAGACGCAGACCACGTTTTAATAAAGATATATGATATTAAGATATTCGAATGAAAGAATTAAATGTTCAATAAAATGCACTGTTTCAAAGCTATAAACAATCAATGTTTTGTTAAGTTTTATCCTCGGCTGCTCATTAAGATTAACCGGCACATGGTCCTTTTAAATTTATGGACAATCAAAATATAAAGCCTCGGTCTCACTTACTCCCGGCAGAGCCCAGGACCATCTCGGTAAGTTACCGGGATGATCAGGGACGATCCGGGATGAAATTATTGTTGCGGTCACACTTATCCCGGCAGCACTACGGTAGTTTCCTACTAACCACCCAGGATGCGCTCCGGATCATCCAGGCAGAGCCCAGGTGAAGCTACGGTTCATGCCGGTGCTTCCCCGGTCGTTCCCGAATGACGCCGGAAGAGCCCCGGTTGACCCAGGCAGAACCCCGGTCGATCCAGGCAGAGTCCCGGCAGAGCCCAGGACGATCCAGGCAGAGCCCCGGTGAAACCCCGGTGGATTGAAAACGCCCGAAAATGATAACATTAATACATAATTTTTATTTAATATAATATCTATTGTTCCAGAATAGTAATTGATGATGATTTCTGAAAAATCCTTATGCCATACAGGATAGAAGGGAAATGGGAAGGCTTTTAATACAAACAAGTGCAATCATCGCAAATTGTCGTTATTCTTTTGAAATGATCCGGGCTTTGCCGGGGCTCTACCGGGATCAACCGTAGCTCTACCTTTATCCATCGGGGCTCTGCCTGTAGTTACCGGGGCTCTGCCGGCATATACCGGGGCTCTACCGTAGCTCTACCGTAGCTCTACCGGCTATATCATACCCCGGATCATCCCCGGTTTGTGCCGGCAGAGCTACGGTGCTTTCCCGGTATAACCCCGGTCGTTCCCGGCAGAGCTAAGGATGAAGCCGGCAAAGCTATACCTTCCCGGATCATCACGGACCACCCCGGTGATATTAAATATTTTATTCCATCCGGGGTCAAATGCCGGATGTTCCCGGATCACCCCGGATCATCCAGGACGTTGCAGGCAGAGTTACGGATGTACCCCGGTTGTTTCCGGTCGTACCCCGGTCGTTCCCGGATCACCCCGGACGTCTACCGGGGCTCTGCCATGTAAGTGAGACTGTAGCTTAAGGTCAATTTTTGGACAAGCACATGAAACAGTAATGTAACAAAAAATGTTTCGGATAATTTATTTAAATTCACATCAGTCTATCGATGGGAGTCGTTTTACGAAGCTTAGACTAATATGATAATTCGTTTAAAAATATGAAAACAGCAGATCGGTAAAATTGGTTCGTGTGCAATCCAGAAGTATAAGTCATTATTCATAATAATCTCGGAGTTGAGTTAATATAGATTGAAAGTTTTACCACGTGACTTTAGATAAATTTGAATGAGTAAATTGAGCAACGAGAACATTTATTTTACATCGAACGGGGTAAAATTAATTTCTGACGATCAGAATAATTATAAAACGATTAAAAAACGCCCATTCTCAACCATCAATTACACATATCGTCAATATACATGCATTTGAGCCGCGTCACGACAAAACCAACATAGTGGGTTTGTGACCAGCATGGATCCAGACCAGCCTGCGGCTCCTTCCTTGTCCGAGGCATTATTTCTGTATGTCTATCGTGGGTTTAGACTAGTAGTCGTTCAATTTTCTATAATAAAATTTCTATAAATGCCTCGTCATGACAAAACCAACATAATGCGTTTGCGACCAGCAGTCTGATCAGGATCCATGCTGTTCGCTATACAAACCCTATTACAAGAAGAGAAACAGATAGCGAACAGCATGGATCCTGATCAGACTGCGGGATGCGCAGGCTGGTCTGGATCCATGCTGGTCGCAAACCCACTATGTTGGTTATGTCGTGACGCGGCTTATTTGTTTTTAGTTTCTAAAAACATAAAGGTAAGTCTATTAATAATACATTTTTTATTTTTACCAGCGTAGGTAAGACCTTTCGAAATGCCGTATACTGTGTATTGTGATATGTATAATATGCGGTATAAGATAACTTTTTTTTGAAGCCTCATATTCTAAAGATGCATCGTTTTCCCTGTGACTATTAGCGCCTCTCTGTCTTAAATAATGTTAAAAGCATGCACTGATGTTTCTAAAATTTGCATAATCTGTCGCCGCTCATGGAATTAAAATTTTTTCTCCATGTTTGAAGCTCCAAACCAGTATGGAGGCTCCTACGGGATAAACAATATAATTTTCTATTATGATTCCCGTAAAAAGAAGAAACACTAGCGTTTTTTTATCAGGAAGGAGTCTATTTCATGAAAAAAGTATTCATTGAATACCCGGCTGAATGGCGAATCCTAGCATTTTTGGAAATGCTCACAATTGTTTCTATCTATATTTAGAAAATAAAAATTAAATACAAGAAGTGTGAAAGAAAGTTTTACTAGCGAGCTGTTCTGGTGGGTTTGCATGTGTGAAAATGGATTCCCAACATCACGACTGGAGTTACATAAGGTTTTGTTTACGGAAAATGGATAGTAGAAAATAGATGTCAGTACTTCCTTAGTTGAAAATGATCGTACTTTCATCTGGGTTGCGTTTCATGGAGAGTCTAAAATCAGTCTTAAGACCATAACTAAGAATGTTTTGTGTTTCAATGAAATGTCTTTACTTATGACACCTATGTTAATACGTAACTCGTACTTTTACAAGTTCTTAATAGCTTTATAGATAAGCATCGCATTGTGTGTGCCATAGAATTTATAACTTTACTCGGGAGAATGAAAATAATTCAAGTCCATGTCTTTAACTCAAGATAAAAAATATTTATTGAAACTGTCATGAGAAAGTCTTATATTTGTTCATAAGTCCTAGGACTTAGGACTAGGTCAAGTAATATGGTTACTGGTCATGAAAATCCTTTGACACTCCTCCATGCACCTTACCTCAATAGGGAAAGTTTTGGATCAGTAACCTAGGGGTCGCTGGTTCAATCCTTGTCCGAGGCATTATTTCTGCATGTCTATCGTGAGGTTAGTAGTCGTTCAATTTTCTACAATAAAATTTCTATAAATGGGCCTCGTCATGACAAAACCAACGTAATGCATTTGCGACCAGCAGTCTGATCAGGATCCATGCTGTTCGCTATACAAACCCTATCACAAGTAGAGAAACTGATAGCGAACAGCATGGATCCTGACCAGACTGCGTGGATGCGCAGACTGGTCTGGATCCATGCTGGTCGCAAACCCATTATGTTGGTTTTGTCATGACGCGGCTTAAATATCGTTCGGAATGTATCGATAACATTCAATGTTTGATCTGGGGCAGTTCATTTTTTCATTTTTAATTGTTGGTTAATCGCAAGTATAAAAGCGAATCTCTAGAAATATATTACTAATTCAACTCAACTTGACAGCGAAACAAATAGGCATAGCATCACTTTTAAATCGGCGTTAAAATCCAGAAAACAAAAAAAAACACACATATTTATCAATGTATTACAGATCCTCAATTGAAATAGATGCAATACACTGACTAGATCTTATCTAACGTGTCCATTTTTACAAACAAAAAATATGGTATTGGTGATAAGCTATCAAAATTAATTAAGTTTTTCTTTTGTCAAGAGGTATCAAATAAATGCAATAATGTTGGTCGGCAATTAAAAAGGTATTATTTGATATCGTCCAAAAAAATATTTTCAAATTTCTTAAGGAAATATCAACGGCATTTTCGTAATTTTTTAAAATATCTGCCATTCCTTCTAGATTAGATAAAACTTGATCGAATATAGACTTGATCTGTTTTAAATCAATCAGTAATATAGCCGCATTAAAGATCAAAATTATCGTTTTTATACAGGAGTATTTGAGTATTATAATATAAGAAACATGAAATGTAGCAATCTGTTTAAAGTGTATGAATTACATTCATCCCATAGAAGCAAGGAGTTTATGAATACTGATGTTTTATACTACACATGATAATAATACAGCTTCTGTTACATTTTAAATATTCAAAATTAAATAACAAATAAAAAAGAATGCCGGTGATCAATGTACAATACATATTTGTATTTTATAGTATTATATGGTTGATATGGAATCGGAACTCAATCAATTAGAGATTGATATCAGTTTATCTATTATATCGAATAGATACCGGTATCATGGATAAAATGTTACAGTCTAATAATAGCCTAATTAAGTGTAGTCACGACAATTTAATACAGTGCTTTGTACAAATATGACACAGAATCCCAACCCCTTTGGATGCGCCCATAATAGATATTGTTTTTGGAATAAACAATAAATAACGTTTTCATAGCGTGCCATGTCAATCTTCGTTTAACAACAGAACATATTTAGTTTTAATGTAATTTATAGCAAGAGGGTCTTATTTCAAAAATAATTAAATAAAAAATAACAAATAAACCAATGGCAACACGCAAATCTTAAATTTACATTTGAATTGTTCTCCAACTAAGTCAGTTATCCTCAATAGCTGAGACCGATCGGACGTATTGCTCAAATATGGTAAGATTTAGTTTATTTTCTTGTTATATATTTATAAAAAAAAATTCAATTTTGATAGATTATTTCATAAATTGAAAAAAAAATACGGGAGTAAGAATAACATATCGTTGGCTAATGGGAGTAGGTGCAGTTTGTTCCCGCCACTAGTCTTTTAAGAAGAACGAAGATTAATTAAAGCGACCTTATACTCATCTAGAAGGTATATAGAGAGTGTAGAGGTAGAAGTAAAAAAACAGTTAACATTTTGCCATATTTCCTTTCAAGTTTTATTAATTTCCTTCGCATGAATGTTAAATAAATCGCGTGGCTAAAGAACATTTCTCAGAATATCCATCGTAAATTACATGTAACGTTCAATTTATAAAAAGTGTGGAGCAGTCTTTTTTATTTTAGGCAGAGTTATATTTCATTTTACATTTTCTAATATCAGCTGTTTGTCAATAGTCAATCTTTTGAAAAAAATAACCAATTCAGCTTAATTTGACAGCGAAAAAAATGAGCATATAGTCACTTAAAAACTTCTATGAACTTTTGTAAAGATGATTATTTGACACATCAATGGGAATGACCAATGTCTATTCAAAATACACGTAAAATACTTTTACGATATGATATATGTTCATGGAAATAGATACATAATAGATGAGAGTTTTCAAAGAACAAAGGGCAACTCGCCGTTGTTTATGTCGAGTCAACGCAACTGAAAATAATGAAATCATGAAAGTGTCGATATGAAAAATATGAAGTCATTAGAAGAAGAAAAATATGCATTTATTACACGGAAACGTTTGATGAGTCCTGACTCTAATGCAATAATACAAGTACCTTGAAATAAAAAATATATGTTTTATAAAATGTTTCACAATTTTCAATTGATTTGTTTATATCTAAGTCAGAAATAAAATATTTATCAAATTTATCACATAATGAATAACAATAGGGTAGGACCAACGTTCTTACAAAATGTGTAATCAACCCTCCCCTAACACAAACATGCGTTGGGATTTTCTGTTTTAACTGAACAAACGTTTTTTTTTAAGATATATTTTTTGACTAGGTAATATACTTATATTACAGGATGCGAAGTTGAGCTTACTGATAGTAGGTGCAGCTATGTTCGCTTTAACACATCATTGCTCAGGTAAGTCATCTCTTTTTAAAGCGTTGTATTAAATAGTGTAACGTATGTGTTCAAATTTATTTTGTATAGAAGGCAAATAACAAAATAATATAAAGTAAATTAAAGACATAAAAGCAAGATACAAGTGAATAACATAGATAAATGATAATCTGCTTTGTACCTTGTCTTCTGGTATCATAAGGTGTGTTCCAAATATAATGTCATTCGTGAAATACCATTTTTACCGAGTCGTAAAAGCGGCCGGGTATGTGATAAATCTTTAATATTATAGCATTACTTACGGCGTATGCGAATGATGGAGAATGTACCGCTGACGAGGCTAACTCAGTATGTGATACAGGAGCTGATGGTGACGGTTAATGTGTATTTGTAACTGCATACAAAGATAATGGGAGCGGTGGCTGCACTGCAAAAGGACTTTTAGAAAGGCATTATTTCATAAACTGTATAAATCTTTATATACTTTTAGCTGCACTTATCGGGGCGTGTACGGATGATGGAGACTGTATCGTTGTTGGCGGAGACGATAACGCGGTATGTGATACAGGAGGTGGCGGTGACTGTGTATGTGCATCTGCATATAAGGATGATGGAGGCACCTGTGTCGCAAAAGGTAATAACCTTATTCAAATTTATAGGAAAACATTATTGAAGAAAACATATCGAACAAAAATATTAAGAATAAAATTATTACATTCATTTATGAGGTCAAATTCGACATACGAATAAACTAAACATAAATTAATATAGTAATAAATCACGTGAAAATTTGCTCAACTAAGGCAATAAGCTAAGGCAATAACTGTTTTCGCATTTCGCATGATATTGCAACAAGATGATAGAGGCGTCGTAATATCTAGCTGCGGTTACAAATTATTAATTATGAAATAAATAAGTTGTATATTGTCCCCTAATTTTTTATTTGTACATTTAAAAGTAAAATATGTTCTACTTGCGATTATTATCAGAAACAAATATCAAACAGCAGTCAATGATACGCTACATCTACAAATAATGGAAAAAAATGTTCATCGCAACAAAAAAGTTTGAAGTGACATCAATAGGCAGATTCATATGTAGTCAATGCTACGAGTAAAAGAAGTGACCGACAATCTATTTGTAATCTTTTTGCTAAATAAAGTTACGACAAATGGCAAATTGAAAAGAAGGGGAAGTAACTATTGATAGATCTGTCTATACATATTCGGATATCCACGATAATCTTTCCGGCAAATGATTATTCAAATTACGGAAAAACACGACTAGAACATAGCGCCCCCTCTTATCAAAATGTGACCTAATTTTGAAATGACATTATGCTTAGTTATATTTTGCCTAGTGCCTGATGACGTTTTCCATACTGGTTGATCACTTCGTGAATGTATTACAAATTAACCAAGATAATCACTAGCACAGCATGATGAAATAAACATTTACGCTTGATTGCACTGTCATTCACTCAAATGAAAATTTGAAAAATGCATCAAGGACTAAACACCAAACAAGTTGCAACTTCCAGCAAGCATGGTATCATTGTCAACAAGCGTGATGAAAGTGAAAGCATGCATAACGACTGTATCAATAAGCACAATAGCAGTGTTAATGAGTAAATTGTAACAGTAAGATTGTCAAAGGGTTTGTGCGTTAAGTAAACTTAGCAGAGTAAAATGTATAGGCTCCTATTGTGTTTATATGTATATATATCTTAAAATTTTAAATGATTGCCTACAAGTTTCTTTTAATCAGACAGAGCAAAGACTCGTATCTTTAAAATTCACTAACGGTATTTTTGAAAGTCTTTTGTATGTATATTCATACAAAATAATTAAAACTAACGTTCAGAAAAAGTACAATTATGTTAAGTTAAAATGTCATTGAAATGTATTTGGGAATACTTTTTTCTTAGCTAGCTAAATAAATGTACACAAAGTATCATATTACACTTTCTCGTACAATCTAGGTTTTGTACTTACTCAGCAAACTTTTTTGTACCACATTTTATGCGAAACAAAGTTGATTATTGTATTATATTAATAACGTTTTAAACTTATTTAGTTTTGGGTGATAATTGCGCTGATAACACAGAGTGTGCAGGAGTGACAAACGCTAACTGTGACTCAACTTGTAAATGTGAGGGACAATACAAAGAAGATACTGGCAGCTGCATTTCAAAGGGTTTGTGCGTTTTTAACTTGTAATGCATCATATGATAGAGTAATCGGTTTAGGCTCCTAAAGTGTTTATATACATATAGCCATAGCATCGTATCTGATGTTCAAAGATCACAGGTTTGACCCCAGGGCAATTGGCCATTGATCTCGACAATAAGTTTAATGACACCGCTGATTCAGAAAACATGTAGAAATAGTAGGATACTTGCGGTGACATCGTTATTACTTGTTATTTTACAGGAAAGTCGGTTTGGTTGCCTGTTACTTGTTAGTTATCCAGGAAAGTCGATTGGGTTGCCTTGCTGCCGAAATATGTTTTTATTTATTTGTCTATTAAAGTCTCGTTTATGTACAAGTCCAGCATGTATAAAAAACACATATTTCAAAGCAAAAGTATTCAAGAATTTTAAAGTGGTGAATGATACAAGTTAAATAGGTAAAACATATCAGCTAATATAGATATTGTTAAAGCGTCAGTAAATTAAAGTTCAATGTGTATAAAAGGTATAGGTGAACCAGTTCAACTATTCGAAACGATATGTTGTAATGTCAAACTTTATAGCAAAGTCATTTTGGAAAATAAAGAAATCGCTTCGAGGCCTTTAATGGAATGAAGTTGAACTTTTTTGTTTTTGTTATATATTAACCATTCGAGGTAAAGAGCTAATATAATAAGTTTAAAAGTTTTGCAATGATTCCTAATGTAACATTGCGAAAACTCGGAAAAGTGCTTCTAATATTTGAAATAACGAACGCGATATTGTAACAAGTACGCAAAGGTTAAGCATGCCTTTTTGCATGTCATACCAGACGGTACTTAAAAATATTTTTTATGACATTGGGTGGATACTTTATAACCGGCAAACAACTGCTCAAATACAAAAGTGTTATGCTTCTAAAAATTTTATGCATGTTTAAAAGAAACAATTATATTATATATTAATATAGAAAAGGAGTTTTAGTTAAAAACTGTTGATGCAAAATAAGTTTTCTGTCTAGCGTTTGTTAAGTAACTGCACAGTGTAAAGCAAATGCACTTTGTTGTTCTCTTTCACAAGTTTTGACTGACCCATGCACGGCTAACTCGGATTGTGCAAATGTGACAAACGCTAATTGTAATACAAATTGTGTATGTGAGGGACAATACAAAGAATCCGGAAGAAATTGCGTTGAGAAAGTTTTGTGTATTGAATCATTTTTTCTCTTTAAAACATAAATTCAGGATAAGTAAACGATATAGACTACACGTTGACATTTGCGTAAACGTTGCGTCGATATTAGTTATAATACAAATAAGTTTTCTGCTGGGTGGGGCAGAATTTACTGAGGTTTGTTTTCGATCTCCAAAAAAGTCTGTACTACCAGTTTAGAGCCATATCAGCCTGCATACATTTGCATACATTTGCGTTTCCAACTCTGATTGTGCTGGAGCAGAATTTACGGAGGTTTGTTTTCGATCTCCAAAAAATTCTTTACTACCAGTATAGGGCCAGAGCAGCCTGCATTCATTTGCAGTCTGATTAGCATCTACGAGGTTAGCGGACTAATTTTAAAGTTTCATTATGATTCTCCAAATTTTGATAATTCCAAAATCATTCAAGAAATTAAGCAAGGTTAAAATACAGTGCGCTCAAACATTTTAAATAATGTGGCGTTAATATACGGGCGCCCATAATACCGTTTAACGAAATTTTAACGATCTTTTTTCTGTCACACAAAATATCAAAACCAGGGATAGCGTCATTTTTATCCAAAGGGATCAGGGAAAAATTCACATGTACCGAAAGATTTTAGTGGTTGACCACCTTTGTTTGTGTTATTTAGAGGGCGTATACATTTTAAAGGAGGTTTATAGAAACAAACTCAATGAAAAAATTACAACTGTATGTAAGTTATAATATATAATATTGTGTGAAAGCATCAATAACAATTTACACAGAAATACATAACAGTCATACTCAGCTAGATAGAGAATTTTCTACATTTACCGCGGTAGGTTTTACAACGTTCATCTCGTGATTTTTAATTGAATTAACATATTCTGTAATAAATACAAAAGAATTGATATTTTGTATTTAAATATAAAGAAGTTTAGAACACGTCCATTTGCATAATATGAACATTGTTGAACATATTTAGTTTTCAATTATACATTAGTTTTGAATGATACGTTAGTTTTAAATAATACGTTAGTTTTGAATGATACGGTACTGACTCTGATTGTGCAAAGTGACAAACGCTAATTGTAACACCAATTGTGTATGTGACAAAGAAACTAAAACAAAGTTAAATTGTAAGATTTAGAAACCTTTTAACCAAACGTGCAAGAAAGGCGAACGCTATGAATATACATGTATATATCAAATTTTGGTTCATCATGTTGGTCTATAATTTTCTTTTGTTCACTCAGCGCGATAACTCTTGTTATTTAATTTCACTGATCATATTTTGAAATGTCTTTCAATGTGGTTACATGCCAAATTACTTGTTATGATACGAATGTAACTAACAGTCAGAAAAAAGATGCAATTTCTGTTAAGTTTAAGATTTCATTGGAATATAATTTGATTTTCTGAAATGGCTGAATTAAATGTGCATAAATTATCATATAATACTTACTCGTACAATTTGGGTTTTTGGGCTTACTAATACAACCTTTTTTCGTACCAAATTTTATTCAATCCAAAGTTTAACAATGCATGGAATAAATATTACCTTGAACTTATTTAGCTTTGGGTGATACTTGCGCTGGTGACTCGGATTGTACAGGAGTGACAGGCGCTACTTGTAACACAAATTGTGTATGTGAGGGGCAATACAAGCAAGATGGAACTGATTGTGTTTCTAAAGGTTTGTGTATTTAGTTAACTCGTTACACATCATATAACAGAGTAAAATGATAAGGTTCCTATTGTGTTTATACGTATATATGTATTTAAATTTGTTGACCATGTTAGCCTACAAATTTCTTTTGTTCACGCAGAGCGAGGACTCCTGTCATTTTATTTTACTTACAGCATTTTTAACAGTTTTTCAGTTAAGGTCCATGCAAAGTTGTTATTTGTTATAATATGAATGTGACTAACTTTCAGAAAAAGTGAAATTATGTTACGTTAAAATTTCATTGAAATACATTTGGAAAGACTTCTTTTTTAAATGGCTGACTAAAATGCGCATTAATTATCATATTGCACTAGCTCGTACAATATAAGTTTTTGTACTTACTCATCAAACATTTTCGTATCAAATTTTTAAAATTGATGCGAAACAAAGTTGATGATTGCATAATTAAAAGTACGTTTAAATTATTTAGTTTTGGGTGATACTTGCGCCGCTGACTTATATATTAGAAATGAAATGCGTTTTTTTTTCTTTTTTTTCCGTTTAACACCGTAAAACTTTGTTCTTCACTGCAGTGAAACATATTTTCCGTATATTCACTTGTGTATTTCCGAACTTCTTTCTAGAGTCAGCCAATATCAGAAATTTAAGGGTAACTCTTTCAAAATGTAATGTCAAAAAGACAAAAAGATTATAATAATACTATCGTATTGTCGACATCGCATTGTCACCATCGTACTATCGCATTGTCGCATTATCATACTTGCGTCATCGCATTGTCCCACTGTCGCCAACGCACTATCGCATTGTCGTCATCGCACTGTCGTATTGTCATCATCGCACTATCGCACTGTCGCATTGACGCCCTCTGGATTATAAAGTATAACCACGATGGTCCTAACGGTATTCTGTAGGAATCACCGCTTTTTCTCCGCGCTCACTAATTTTCACATGGGTAAGTAAAAGATGTATTAGTCACTCGAGCATCTATATGCATTAGAAATAATTGACAACGAATCTGACAGAAAGTCATTATGTAAAAGCTATTAAATACCCCATATTTTCAGATGATGAAAACAAGCATTATATAAAAGCTTTCTTTTCTTTGATACTAAAATAGTATACAATATGTTTTGCGGAAATGCAGTGACCCTTCAACAAACTCTTAAGTCATAATCATATTTCTTTACATATTTGGAATACAATGTATATACGTTTTCGTATCTGTTATTCAGGGGTTACATGTTTGACCATCGGACAATTGGCGATCGATCAATCCGCTGATTCAGAAAAACATGTACTTGCGGTGAACCTCGTAATTACTTGTTAGTTATCCAGGAAAGTCAATTGGGTTGCCTGTTACTTTTTAGTAATCCAGGAAAGTCGGTTTGGTGGCCTGTTACTTGTTAGATATCCAGGAAAGTCGATTGGGTTGCCTGTTACTTGTAGTTATCAAAAGAAGTCGGTTGGGTTGCATGTTAATTATTAGTTATTGAGGATAGTCGGTTGGATTGCCTGTTACTTGTTAGTTATCCAGGAAAGTCGGTTGGGTTACCTATTTCTTGTTCATTATCCAGGAAAGTCGATTGAGTTGCCTAACCGCCGAAATAATTTTATTTACTTGTTTATTAAAGTCTCGTTTATGTACCAGTATAAACAATGCATATTTAAAAACAAAAGACAAAATGTTTTATTCGAGCATTTTAAAGCGGAAAATGATTCAAGTTAAATAAGTTGAACATATCAGCTAATATAGATGTTGTTAAAGTGTCAGTAAATTAAAGTCCAAGGTGTATAAAAGGAACAGGTGAACCAGTTCAACTATTCGAAAAGATATGTTATAATGTCAAACTTTATAGCAAAGTCATTTTGGAAAATAAAGAAATCGCTTCGAAGCCTTTATTGGAATGAAGTTGAACAATTTTTGTTTAATTTTTTGTTGTTGTATTTTAAGCATTCGTGGTAAAGAAGTAATAGAATTAGTTTGAAAGTTTTGCAATGATTCCTAAGATAGGTTTGGTAAAACTCGTAAACGTACTTCTTATATTTGAAATAACGAACGGGATATTGTAATAGGTACGCTAAGGTTAAACATACTTTTACTGTATAACAGACGGTAGTAGTGTTAGAAACAATTTTTAAAGGTATGGATACTTAAATTGCTATTGAGTTTGTACAAACTACTGCTTAAAAGTGGTAGGCTTCTGATAAATTGTATGGAACTTTTATAATAATCAATTATCTTATACACGAATATAGAAAAGGTGTTTTACTTTAAAATTGTAGTTGCAAAATAAGATTTCTGTCTGCCTTTCTAGTAATTTCACAAGCAATTTGTTGTTCTCTTTCACAAGTTTTGACTGACGCATGCACGGCTGATGCGGATTGTGCAGGAGTGACAAACGCTAATTGTAATACAAACTGTGTATGTGAGGGGCAATACAAAGAATCTGGAGGAAGTTGCGTCGACAAAGGTTTGTGTATGAGTCATTTTTACTTTAAAACATAAATTTGGGATAAGTAAACGATTTAGATTTTTCATATTGTTTTCAAGTAACAAAAAAACTCTTGGGCCCATATCTATAATTTTAACCTGGTATTTGCAAAATCGTGGTATCAATGTTTGTAACAATACATATACGTTTTCTGCGAGTTGGGTTGCTTGACCGCCTAAATATCTTTGTAAATTTGAATGTTAAAGTCTCGTTCATGTACAAGTTAACAATAAACAACACATTTCTCAAAGCAAAATTCAAAAATTGTTTTATCTGAGCATTTTAAAGTTGTAAGCAATAAAGTAACATAAGAACAAAATATCAGCTAATATAGATATTCTAAAAGCGACATTTAATTAAAGTTCAAGATGTATTAAAGGAAAGGTAAACCATTTCAACTATTAGAATTAAAATGGTAAATGTCAAACTTTGAAACAAATCATTTTGGAAAATAAAGAAATCGCTTTGAGGCCTTTAATTGAATGAAGTTGAACTATTTTTGTTTAACTTTTTGTTGTTGTATATTGAGCATTCGCGATAAAGAAGTAATACAATTAGTTTCAAAGTTTTGCAAGGATTCCTGATGTAGGATTGGTAAAACTTGAAAAAGTTCCTCTTATAATTGAAGTAACGAATGGGATATTGTAACAGGTACGCCAATATTAAACATGCTTTTTGCGTGTATAGCAGACGATACTAGTGTTAGAAATATTTTCTTATGGTATTGTGTAGATACTTAAATTTTGCAATTGAATTTGTAAAAACTACTGCTTAAAAGTGGTAGGCTTCTGATAAATTGTATGACAATTTTCAAAAAATATATTATCTTATACACGAATATAGAAAATGTGTTTTACTTTAGAAACTGTTGTTGCAAAATAAGTTTTCTGTCTGGCTTTCGTTTAGTAATTTCACAATGAAAAGCAGAAAGCAAAAGCACTTTGTTGTTTTCTTTTAAAAGTTTTGACCGACGCATGCACGGCTGATGCGGATTGTGCAGCTGTGACAAACGCTAATTGTAATACAAACTGTGTATGTGAGGGGCAATACAAAGAATCCGGAGGAAGTTGCGTTGACAAAGGTTTGTGTATGAGTCATTTTTACTTTAAAACATTAATTTAAGATAAGTATCTTCATATTGTTTTCAAGTAACAAAAAAACTCTTGGGCCCATTATCTTTAATTTTAACCTGGTATTTACAAAATCGTTGCATCAATGTTTGTTACAATACATAAACGTTTTTTGCGAGTTGGGTTGTCTAACCGCCTAAATATCTTTGTAAATTTGTATATTAAAGTCTCGTCCATGTACAAGTTAAGACTAAACAACACATTTCTCAAAGCAAAATTCAAAAGGTCTTTTATCTGAACATATTTTAGTTGTAAGTGATAAAGTAACATAAGTACAAAATATCAGCTAATATAGATATTCTAAAAGCGTCATTAAATTAAAGTTCGAGATGTATTAAAGGAAAGGCAAACCATTTCAACTATTCGAAATGAAATGGTAATTGTCAAACCTGAAAGCAAATCATTTTGGAAACTAAAGAAATCGCTTCGAGGTCTTTAATGGAATAAGTTAAACATTTTTGTTAACTTTTTTGTTGATGTATATTGAGCATTCGCGGTAAAGAGGTAATACAATTAGTTTGAAAGTTTTGCAATGATTTGGGTTGCTTAACTGCCTAGATATTTTTGTAAATGTGTATATAAAAGTCTCATCCATGTACAAGTTAAGACTAAACAACACACTTCTCAAAGCAAAATTCAAAAGGTCTTTTAATTGAACATTTTAAAGTTGTAAATGATAAAGTAACATAAGTACAAAATATCAGCTGATATAGATATTCTCAAAGCGTAATTAAATTAAAGTCATTTTGGAAAATAAAGAAATCGCTTCGAATGAAGTTGATTTTTTTAGTTCAACTTTTTTGTTTTTGTTATATATTAACCATTCGAAGTAAAGAGCTAATATAAATAGTTTTGCAATTATTCCTAATGTTACATTGCGAAAACTCAGAAAAGTGCTTCTTATATTTGAAATAATGGACACGATATTGTAACAAGTACGCATAGGTTAAGCATGCCTTTTTGTATGTCATACCAGACGGTACTTGAAAATATTTTTAATGACATTGGGTGGATACTTTATAACCGGCAAACTACTGCTCAAATACAAAAGTGTTATGCTTCTAAAAATTGTTTGCATGTTTAAAAGAAACAATTATATTATACATTAATATAGAAAAGGAGTTTTAGTTAAAAACTGTTGATGCAAAATTAGTTTTCTGTCAAGCGTTTGTTTAGTTAACTACACAGTGTAAAGCAAATGCACTTTGTTGTTCTCTTTTACAAGTTTTGACTGACGCATGCACGGCTGACTCGGATTGTGCAGCTGTGACAAACGCTAATTGTAATACAAATTCATATAACAACGTTTAGAAAACTTTTAACCAATAGAGCTGGATAGGTGAGCGCTCTGAATATATAGATAAGATAAGTTAAGATATAGTTTATTATCGTGACATGTGCATAAATGACATAGATACATAATATACAGATGAAAGAAAAGGCGCCCGACCCCTTGGGCCTATATGTCACCGGGAAATCAATGTCATTATTTACATAATTCAACAAAGTTACTTCTTTTATACATAGGATGATCTGAAGTACATGTACAAAATACTGGTAATATAATTTCTTATGTTATCAAATATGAACAACTAATTAGTTACTATGTAAAGGTACTTTGAGCGACATATTACAATTATTGTGCTTATTATTATACATATATAATTTAGGCGACATATTACAAATATTGTAATTATTATAATACATATATGTACATTATTCAAGTACATAGCATTATATACATTTAAATTTCATATATAATACAACACTTGTTACTGAGAAGGTTGGGATTTGGAAAACAATTTACTTTTGAAAGTTTATAACACTTAGAATGTGTTACGGAACTGGTGATAGAGTGATCACACTATTTAATATTCGAATAACAACAATATTACATTACTGAACTTGCGTTTAATACATCGTTAATATATCAAAATATGGTTCATCATGTTGGTCTATAATTTTCTTTTGTTCACTCAGCGCGATAACTCTTGTTATTTAATTTCACTGGCCATATTTGAAATGTCTTACTATGTGGTTACATACCAAATTAGTTGTTATGATACGAATGTAACTATCAGTCAGAAAAAAGATGCAATTTCTGTTAAGTTTAAGATTTCATTGGAATATAATTTGATTTTCTGAAATGGCTGAATTAAATGTGCATAAATTATCATATAATACTTACTCGTACAATTTGGGTTTTTGGGCTTACTAATACAACCTTTTTTCGTACCAAATTTTATTCAATCCAAAGTTTAACAATGCATGGAATAAATATTACCTTGAACTTATTTAGCTTTGGGTGATAATTGCGCTGGTGACTCGGATTGTACAGGGGTGACAGGCGCTACTTGTAACACAAATTGTGTATGTGAGGGGCAATACAAGCAAGATGGAACTGATTGTGTTTCTAAAGGTTTGTGTTATTTAGTTAACTCGTTACACATCATATAACAGAGTAAAATGATAAGGTCCTATTGTGTTTATAAACGTATATATGTATTTAAATTTGTTGACCATGTTAGCCTACAAATTTCTTTTGTTCACGCACAGCGAGGACTCCTGTCATTTTATTTTACTTTCAGCATTTTTAACAGTTTTTCAGTTAAGGTCCATGCAAAGTTGTTATTAGTTATAATATGAATGTGACTAACTTTCAGAAAAAGTGAAATTATGTTACGTTAAAATTTCATTGAAGACTTCTTTTTTAAATCGCTGACTAAAATGCGCATTTATTATCATATTGCACTAACTCGTACAATATAGGTTTTTGTAATTACTCATCAAACATTTACATATCAAATTTTAAAATTGATGCCATACAAAGTTGATGATTGCATAATATAAAATACGTTCAACTTATTTAGTGCTGGGTGATACTTGCGATGCTAACTCAGATTGTGCAGGAGTGACAAACGCTAATTGTAACACAAATTGTGTATGTGAGGGACAATACAAAGCGGATGGAGCTACTTGTGTTTCTAAAGGTTTGTGTATTTAGTTAACTCGTTACACATCATATAACAGAGTAAGATGACAAGGTTCCTATTGTGTTTATACGTACAGTGTATATTATGTATTTAAATTTATTGACCATGTTAGCCTACAAATTTCTTTTGTTCACGCAGAGC